ATATAATTTGTCAGTAGGTTGTTGGAATAATATGGTTCCCTCCGGTTTTTAAAACTAGCTAGGCATTGTTTATCTCTCACATTGTCTAACTCTTCCATCATGGTTTCCCCAATTAAGGTGCCCCCAATTTTTCCCCTTTCTCCCTTAATAATACCCTTCTCCTATGGTCCTACCTCTCTTGAGCTCATTCTTACCCTTTAGCCCCTAGGTTCCTTGTATACCCTTCCCTCCCCCCTCCCTTAAACTAACCCAATTTTTATCCATATCTCCCCTTTTAAGGCCCATTTCTTACTGTTCTTCTCTTTCAGGTTCTTTCTTTTTCCTTTACCTCCCTCGTTCCTTTCCATTATCCTGGTTCCTGTAGTTATATCTGGATACATACTTATCAGGGTCTTCTAGGATCCACATATGAGGGAGAACATATGTCAATTTTTTTCTTATTCTGTGTTACTTAGTATCTAACAGTTTCTAGTTCCATCCATTTACCTGCAAATTTCATGATTTCATCTTTCTTTACTGCTGAGTAAAACTCCATCTAAATGAACCACACTTTCATTAAATACTCATCAATTGAGGGACAATTAGGTTGCTTCCATCTCTTGGCTATTGTGAAAAAAGCAGCAACAAATCCACTTGTCAATTGAGGGACACTTAGGTTGTTTCCATCTCTTAGCTATTGTGAAAAGAGCAGCCACAAACATGGATGTACAAGTGTCTCTGCAGTAGGATGAGTTCTTTGGGTATATGCCAAGGAGTATGTCCTAGTTTGTTCTTCATTGCTGTGACAAAACACTCTGACCAATATCAACTTGGGGAGGAAAGGATTTATTTAGCTTACATATCCCGGGTCACTCACCATGGGCAAAGAGATGTCCAGGAGACTTTGTGTTTTCCTTGCTGACTTTCCCTCTCATCTCAGAGTGAGAAAGTTACTTGTTTTTGTTAGGCAAGCATACAGACACCCAGAGGCTTTGCCACGTTGAGGAAGCTCTGGAGCCCCTCCAAAGTGGAGCCCCTTCCACCCCCTGCTTTCCACTTCCTGACCACTCCTGTAGGCTGGGTGGAATGTGTTCTCTCCCTGTAGGCCTGCTCTGGGCTGCCTTTTTGTACTTCAAGCAGGGAGTGCCTTGAACCTTCAAGATCCACAGGATCCTGAGATGATCCAGCAGGCTTGGCTGTCACAGCTGGGCTGACTTATCCCCCCCTACCCCTGAAAGCCATTATAAGACCATGTGCACAAGACAACTACTAGCCTGTGTTCCATTCCCTTGATGGCGCTGCTCTCCTGGAGGACCAGGACACTTTGTAAGGCTTTGTGCTAACCAGAAGCCCATAAGAGAAAGGGTGATGGCAGCCCAGATTAAAAAAAGAGGGCTTGGAAATTGCTCTAAGAAGACAGAGTCAGTGCAACTGGTATTGTGTGCAAGTGAGTAGTCTTATTTACTTGGCAGTATTTGTGAGTATTTATGATTTTTGCAATATACAGTGGTCTAGCACATGGTAAGGCCCAAGCTAAGAATAATTGTTATGAACTTTTGTATTTCACAGTGGTATTTCTGGTACAGGATAAAAATTAATAAACTCAATGATGTTTGGGAAACAGGAATTCAAAGTAGAAGATGGGGGAAAAAGCCACACTTATACATCTATTAAAAGAAAGAATGAATTTATTCCTCTCAAAACAGAGCAGCAGGCCAGCTCTGACTCCCACACTGGATGTAGCAGGAAGCATCTTCCCTGATGTGGAGAGTGTTGTTGTTGGAGAGGAGAATTCTTGACATTTGAGCTCACTCACATGAAGTGAATGTAATAAAGGACAACGTTGTGGACCTAGGCCCCTCCATTGTGGTTTCTTAGAGCCAGAACAAGGAAGCATACTGATGCCCAGACTTATTCGTTTTTCAGGGACAGATGACGGTCTATGCAAAGTTTGGCAAAAATGTGTATCTTCCTGAAGATGCTGAGTTTTACTTCATTTATGACGGATCGCATCAGAGACATGTGGTAATTGCTGAGCGCATCGAGGATAACGTTCTCCAATCCAGCATTCCAGGTGAGGTGACCACTTAGTTGTACAGGTTGGGAATCTGTATCTTCCTTCCAGGAATATCAGTCAGGAGAACCAAGAAGAAAAACAAAAAAGCTCTCCAAGGATATGAGTGTTCATGGGTTTGTATGTGTGCCATTAGGAAGGACACTTGCCTGTGCTACCTCACTTCTGGGGTCCCTCCAACTATGTATGCATCACTTAATCCCGGCAAGCCCATCCCACTGACTGCCCTCAGTTCTCAAGGTCTGGTATACTTAGGGTGTAGCCACATGGAGGAAGTACTGTGCTTTAGATGTCACCTCCTTAGTCCCAGGACCTACTCCCTGGTTTGGCCCAGGAAGAGTTGACATGACAGAGCTTGTCTTCATTCTTCCTCATTCCCCTGTGGTCAGCCCCAGCGCGCCCCCCTCCTTTGCTGACTGGCATTCTCTGTTCATCCAGAATCTCCCTTATTGGGTCTCAGACTCTAGAATGTTCCTTGCCTACTACCGAAGTGTCCTTATTTGAACACTGGGAGGGGTGACAGATTAACATACCCAATAATTAACCTGTTATTAGGAGCTAATTCCCCTTCTCAGATATAAATATTTTGTATTGTCATTGAAGTATGGCTTATGTATCTAAAAGACCTCAAGCTGGAACTGAATTCTGTAGCGGTAGAATTAAAACGTTGCCTGTAGGACAGGCAGGGTAGCTTATTTATTTACCTTTTTTGGTTTTGGTTAGGAGCCTGACCTCATTTTTAAGGCGATGTGTCTCAAGGTGTCTCTGAAGGGCACCTGCTACATGCAATAGGAAGATAGATAATAAACACACATAGAACAAACATAAAGAGGGCTATGGGAACTCCAGATGCCCATCAGCTCTTCCAGGCCTTGGTCACTGGCTTAATCTGTTGTCTCATTTCAGAAATTCTGAGCGATTTTAAGAAAATCAATCAACCAATCTCTCTCTCTCCTCTCTCTCTCTCTGTGTCTCTGTGTCTCTGTCTCTGTCTCTCTCTCTCCTCTCTCTCTCTGTGTCTCTGTTTACACACATGGGGTCAAAGGAGGAGTTGGAGAGTCAAGCCCCAAAACCATGGCCTAGGTAAACCGTTTTCTCTCTCCTCTCTCTCTCCTCTCTCTCTCCCTCTCTCTCTCTCTCTCTCTCTCTCTCTCTCTCTCTCTCTCGCCTAGTAACTCCAATCCTTACAAGAATAAAAAAAAACAACAAATTTTGTTAATGGACCAGTTTACCTGTTGATCCCTGTCCCTCTGCCCTTTTACTCTGACATATATACTGACATCCTTCCTGCTTTTAATTTCCTCCTCTTTTCTAACTTTTCTCTTTCAATAAGCAACTTATAGAGGAAGAATAAAAATAATAACCAAAATACCCCTCCTGATAGCAAAAGTTTTCTTTACTTATGTGGAGGAACCAGCCTCCTTCCCCTCCTGTGTCCTAAAGAAACTCTTTCTTCTTGTTTTGGGGTCTGCTTAAAGTGAGGGTCCTTGCCTTCATTTTGACAGGTTTCTGAAGGTAAATGAGAGTTTCTGCTTCTGAACCTGAAATTTCCCTGGTTTCAGCTTTGCTAGAGTAACTTTCTGAGTGATGGAAAATGGTTAGCTTTACCAAGGTAGCCTTCGAGTGATGGAAAACAGGTTTCTATAGTGTATACTAGAGAGTTCCCACAGAGTCAGTGTGAGGATGGCAGTGGTTCTCCTTTAGTAACTCTAAGAGATGCTCTTAGTCCTTGAAGCTCTGGCAGCGTAGCTTATGGGGGAGGCTTGGAGAATAAGGAGGAGCAGGAAGGACTCAGTCAGATAAGTCATTGGCTGGTGGGCACGGGGGGCATGGCCAAGGGCAGTCAAGTAACTCTTCTCAGTCTGTGCAGGAGTGTCACAATCCCAGGGGTTTTAGTACTGCTGACACTGGGAAATTGTGCCAAAAGGGGGATGAGGGAAGGTACCTGGCAAAATGGGAAAGCGAGGCAAAAAAAGAGGAGACTAAGGGAGAGGCAGGGAGTAGGATAGGTAGCCAGCCACACCAGAAAGAGTAAGGACACTTACAAGATACAGGAGCCACTATCCGAAGTAGGTAGGCCCTGGAGAACGTCTGCCTCTGTTTGCCTCTGTTTAATGTTCATGTACATTGACTGTTTTTGTATCTTCATCCAGTCAGAGGAGCCTTGTAGAATTAGGGTGAACTTGCATCAGTTTCTGATACTGACTTACAAAATTGTTGCCTAAATACATGGTTAAGGGTGTATGATTCAAGAGAAAGTGACAAAATGGAAAACAGCAAAGATCTTTCAGATGACAGACTGGAATTTCAGGGTCGGGCAGAAGCAAAAAGTGAAGATAGAACAAATAACTGGTTGGCGGTAGGAGGGGACAGGACCTTGGAAGTCTTCAGAGCTCCTGAAGGAAGGATTATTTAAAACTCCAAAGTCACCTGGCCCTGAGGTGTGGCAACATTTAGAAGGTCATATCCCCCTTTCTGCATTTCCCACCCAGGCAGGACTGGGAGGCAGCTCCAGGGCTACCTTGTGACCCCTTCAGACATGGGTTGAACTGTTCACTATCTTGTCATCCAGGCCACGGACTTCAGGAGACGGTGACAGTGTCTGTGTGCCTCTGCTCGGAAGGTTACTCCCCGGTGACCATGGGCTCTGGCTCAGTGACCTACGTGGACAACATGGCCTGCAGGCTGGCTCGCCTGCTGGTCACTCAGGCTGACCGTCTCACAACCTGTAGCCACCAGACACTGCTGACCCCGTTTGCTCTGACAGCAGAAGCACTGCCGGCCTTGGATGAGGAGCTTGTGTTGGCTCTGACCCAACTAGAGCTACCTCTGGGCTGGACGGTCCTAGGAAACTCTTCACTTGAAGGTAAGTCTGTGCTAGAAAACCGAGTTGTGTGCTTTTTACATCAAGTTCAGAATGTGCTTTACTGTTTACTGTCTGAACTGGTTTTCCTGCCCATCTTTTAGCTGAGCCTTGCTCTGATTGGCTGGGTTCCCCGAGGTCTTCAGCCACTCATCTTTGTGCTGGCCAATGCTTCTGTACCCTAGGAGCTGTGAGGAGATGGCACTAAAGGACCTTGCTTCAAGTGGGGAGGGGCTGTTTCTTTATGGGTGACTCGTGAGCCAGTGACTTTGTGCTGTGACTTGAATTACCTTGGCAATTTCTTGTTATGAGAAGGGAACATTATTGCCCTGTTTCCAAATAGAAAAATAGGATGAAAAGAGTTCTGTGAAATCCTTAGAAGAATTATAGCCACAAAAGAAGTGTAACCATCGAGTTGACATCTTTAAAAATGCAAGTGTCAGGGCTGGGCAGATGGCTCAGTGGGTAAAGTGCTTGCAGTGCCAGCATGAGGACCTGACTTCTATTTCACCATCCATATTAGCAAAAGGTGAGGGGCTGGAGAGAGGCTCCCCAGAGCATTTGTAGTTATACTTAAAAAATTTTAATTGAAGGATGAATTATACACCTATAATCTGAGCACTTGGAGGCAGAGCCAGGAGGAGCACTGCAAGTCTGAGGCCAGCCTGGTCTCTGCACAGTTCCAGGTCAGCTGTGGCTACATAGTGAGGCCCTGTCTTCAAAATAAGCTTCAATTGACACATATATAGCTATAGTGTATGCTGTGATCATTGTATAGATACAAACAATGCATTTGATCAAATTAGAGTACTTAGAATTTCCACTTCCTCAGGCATTTATAATTTTTTTGCATTATAATTGTATTAGCTTTGGGCAACACGAATTGGACTCAATAGGAAAAATAAAAGAATATGAAGGTGTTTGGATTGGTAGATGGGGGTGGTTCTGGGAGGAGTTGGGGGGGATATGATCAAAATATATTATATGAAAAGTTTCACTATTCATCCTTAAAATATCTATTTTTAAATGATTCCTTTGAGTACAAATAGCTATTATTAGATGAGTATTATTATTTAAAATTTTTTAAAATTTTATTATTTCTATTTTATGTGTATGCGTGTATTACTTGCATGTAAGTATGTGCACCTGTGTTGTGCAATGCTTACGGAGGATAGAAGAGGCAGTTGGATCCCCTGGAATTGGAGTTACAGACAGTTGTTAGCTGCCATGTGGGTGCTGGGATTCAAACCCGGGTCTTCTGCAAGAACAGTCAGTGTTCTTAACCACTGAGCCATCACTCCAGCCCGGGTATTAATTATTTTTGATAATGGCTCTATCTTATAAAGAGTCTGACTGAAGTCTTACTGTGAAAAATTACTGCATTCCTTTACATTTTGTGGTAACTCTCACTTTTTCTTCTTACCTTTGATGGTTGTCAGGAAGAATGGGTGAACAAGCACCAAGCCCCCTACCGAAAAGCAGAGCCTTCGCTTGGCCCGCGTCTCACCCACCATCAGTCATAATGCTACTTCATTATGTGTTCAGGAGAAGGAAATGTCCCAGGTTTTATTTAATTTCAGGCCTTCCATAAAACTGGATTTTTTCTATTTCATAAAATTAAACCCATTTCTTCTGCAAAACAGCTTTCATGATAGAAGCTTTGTAGTATCTCTGAACTCCTTATTTGCAGCAAGATGTTCAGTGAAGTAATCTGATTATCCAATAACATGTCACAATTTATTTGCTTTGTTTTGGATTTCTTGCCTGTTTGTGTTTTGGACAGAAATCCTTTCTCAGAGATTGGAATAGTGTAGACAATTAGGTTACTGGGATAAAATATTCTAATGGTTTACAGATTGGTGCTCAGATGATGTTTGAGTTGAAGTCTCCCTTCCTGCTCAACTAAATGACTTCCCTCATTTGGTTCCTGAGAAGCCTGATATGGCTGACTGGTAAGCCATGCTTCACTGGGAGAGGCTGCTCCCTGGTGTGGGAAAGAACCCAGGGGACCACACATACCATCCCAAGACTGATGGGGCTGACCTTGTAAACACAGTTACTTTTCTCCCAACCTAACAAGAGCTACAGCTTATCTGTTTCTGATTGAAGAGTGTAAAAAGTGCTCCCTTCCTTAAAAATGTCACATAGGCTCTCTCCTGGGTAAGTCGATCTCGCCCTCTGCGCCTTGACTCCCCCAGCCTCATTCACACTCCCATCATCCCATTCCCCCCCCCTCCACTGCCTGTCTCTCCTCCTACCCTGGGTCCTGTCCCATTCCTTGTCTTGGCACCCCAGACACCTGGGGAACCACCACTGCTTCCTGATCCTTTGCATTCAGACCAACCCAGTTCCTTCTCGGGTCCCCAAGAGCACTCTGGGCCTGGCCCTGCCCTCACCTCCCTCTGCTTCCCTGGGCCTGCACAACCCTCCAGCCTGTTTCCTAGAAGCCAGGGCTGACCTTTCCTCTTCCTGATCCTTTGTATCCAGACCAACCCAGCTCCTCAGTGAAGTCCCCAGGAGCCCTTGGGGCTGCTTCCTGCCCCTATCTTCCTTTGCATCTCTGGGTGGCACAGCCACCAGCTGCCCTAGACCAGCATCTTTCCTGGGCTCGGCTCCCAGGCCAGTCCAACCCCCAAATTCCTGAGGCCAAAATCTTTTCTGGAGGGATCCAGACCTTAGGAGAAAGCCTGAACATCTGATCTTCATCTGACCTGGGCCTCTGTGAGAACTCCTGAAGACAAAAGCAATCTGGCCAAACCAATATAAAATCAAAAGAGAGAACTGGAAGCTTAGAGGAATCAGCTTTTCATGCCCCAAAAGTAAACCACAGAGACACATAAAGCTTACAAAACTTGAAGGCTTGAGTCTCACACAAGAATCAGAGTGAACTCCCCAGTCAAAAGACATAGACTAGGTGAATGGATTAAGAAACAAAACCCATCTTTTTGTTGTCTGCAAGAAATTCATCTCACTTTCAAGGACAGGCACTATCTTAAGGGGAAAGGATGGGGGAAAAAAAACCAATCAAATGGTACTAAGAAAAAAGCAGATCAATGGAACAAAATTGAAGATCCAAATATGAGTACATTCTATTTCAGCCACCTGATATTTGACAAAGGGGCCAAGAACATTCATTGGAGGAAAGACAGCATGTTCAGCAAATGGTGCTGG